ATGGAGTATTTAGTACTTTTCTCCAATAGCTCAACTCATCTCCAACACCACAACTCAAAACTATCAATTATTCTGTCATCCTTATGACCATGATCTGAATCAGGTGCATCTTATATTTCCTGTTCTCCTGATTATGGTTTGTGAATCCAAGTAAGATTAAGTTGTTGACCGTTTCAATCTTTTCACCATCTATCATGAAGTTGTCTGTTGGTCCAGTGATGAGAATTGTTTTCTTGACACTGAGATGCAATTCATATTGATGGTTTCAGGGTTTAATATTCTGTAGCTCTTCCTCACTTTCAATAAGCAAGGTTGTGTATCTGCATACACAGATGAGTTATTGATGAGTCTTCCTCTAATCTTGATGCCACATTTTTCTTCATAGAGTCAAGCCTCTCAAATAATTTTGTCATCATACAGATTGAATAGATATAGAGAAAGAATACAATCCTTTCTTAATTTTTTTTTTACCTTTCTTAATTTTAAACCATGCAGTGTTCCCTTGCTCAGTTTGCACAAAAGCCTCTTGGACTAGGTATAGATTTTGCATGAGCACAATGAAGCTTTCTGAGATTTCCATTCTTTTCCATGTTAGCCATAGTTTGTTATGATCTACACACACTGTCAAATGCCTTTCTGGTATTCTTTGCTTCTAGCCGGGATCCATCGGATATCAGCAGCCATATCCCTTGTGCCACAGCCTCTTCTAAATGCAGTCTCTGCCTATGTACTGTTCTAGCCATTTTTTAAAATTATCTTCAGTAGTATTTTGCTTGCATGCAATATTAATAATATTGTTCAATAATTTACACATTCTGGTGGATGAACTTTCTCGGGAGTAGGGACAAATATGGATGGATCATCTACACAGGGGTTCTACAGGACACGTCACCTTCCCTTGGAGACAGTACAACTAAACTTAAGAGACACTGGTCTCTCAAAGACTTGCTGGGTCCACTTTTGCCTTTCACCATAGGGAACTCATTTTCTGGCACTATTTTGGATGATATTCTCTTGCGATCAATATTGTTTTCATAACTAATTTTAAAAAGTGGATTACTAGGCATTTCTTCCTAGTCTGCCTTAAAGGGAATGTTCCACTGAAATCTATCTGTCACGGAGAACCCTGTTTGAAATATCAATGTACCAATGTCATAGGTTCCAATATCATAGCAACATGGAAGTAGCTTCCAAACTATGGCAAACTGACAGATGTGTGGTTAAATATCTTTAAATTAGTTCTTACAATGTACATTTAGAAGAGAATTATTTATACTCTAGCTATCAATATTTATTAATCATGCACTCCATATGTCCATGTGGTATGAGTATTTAAGAGATTGTAGAAGATGTGGTCTACTGAAGACTTAAAGAAAATTTAGAGTTAGAAAAGACTTCACCTATGATTGCAGAAAGGCCATTGTTTTCTTTAATTATTGCTAGAGATCAAAAACTGTGGTAATGTTGTCTTTAGGACAAAAATAGAGATTTTGTTATTCTTTAAATATTGCTTTAGATGGTCCTTATTGCCATAATATAATGATTTTTCTTTTTACAATAGTAAAATATTTTTCTATTTACAAAAAAAAAAAGAGACACTGGTCACAAGAAAAAAAAATTGTCAGCAGTTGACGTGTTTGGAAGCCAAGAAAGCTTCAGATACAAGCTGTCAGATCATGGGTTGGATAATGGAAGATATTTTCTGAAGGGACTTGGCAGATGCGAAGGGTTATCCTGGTGGAGGGTAGAGCTGGGAAGTAAATGGGCCAAGGCACTGGGCTAGGGGTGGGGTCAACACTGTAACTAATGCTTAACCCCACAATAAGGGATTTATCTTTCACTGCTCCACAAATTGCTTGTCTGTCAGATACTCCTCTAAATCTGAACATTCAGATTAAGACAGACTAGGAAGAAGGATTGGCCACCCACT